ACATAAATGTATAAATAACAAATAAAGGGCTTTACTAAATTGTTCCACAATTAGTATTTTAACACTAAATTGCTTCCTATCATAACTATGATTTTGTTATTGTAGTGATAACTATTGACAATTTGATCTTACAGCTGTTAGAAATAATCACCTATAAACCTCCATAACTACAAAAAATTTAAACTAATTGTGTGGATTGCCTAGAGTTTCTTCCTTTTTACTCTAATTGTCTTCTCCCTTACAGCCTCTACACAATGAGCTGTATACGATGCATGCTGAAAATTTCTTTCACCCCTCATTTACAAGGGCAATCAGTGAAAATTCGGAAGAAAGTTTCCTAAATATAATGGCGCAACCTTCTCCTGGGGTTTTTACCTTTGAGATGCTTCAGCCTCGTTTCTGTAATATGCTTTTGGCCGAGGTATAATTTTCCCTTTTTGGTGGTTTCATCTTTCTGGAACGCTCCTTTGGGGTTTCACTTTGCAGTTTAGCTTTTCTATTTCTTATCAGGTTGTGATTGCTTAGGTAGAAAATTTTGAAAAGTGGGTCCACGAAACGAAATTCAGAATTATGAGGCCAAATACAATGAACAAGTTCGGCGCCGTTCTTGATGACTTTGGCATGGAAAACATGCTTGACAAGCTCATGGAGGATTTCATTCGCCCTATTTCCAGAGGTAATAGTTTCTACTACCTCCGTCCCAAATTGATTTTCAAAGTCAATTTTTTTGTCAAACAGTTTCATTGTATTCACTTAATTTGGATATCAATTTTTAATTATGCTCTAAATTGGGGTTTGCCACTTTAAAGAGATGTTAATGTAGTTTTTTAATATGTAAATTTTAATTATTAAAAATTTTAAGTTGACTTTGCAAATCAATTTGGGGCGAAAATAGTATTTACATACAACATGGAGGGTAATGTGGGGAAGAAGAGGGATGTGGTTGTAGTGAATTTCATGACCTTTGGTTTTGACATGGTTTTATTTTTTGTGCAGTTTTCTTTTCAGAGGTTGGTGGGTCCACACTTGATACCCACCATGGTTTTGTGGTTGAGTATGGAATAGACAGAGATGTTGACCTCGGTGAGATGCTGTTATCCATTACATTTGATAAGCTTATATAGTTAGGAAAAGTACGGAAAAAGTACTTGTGGTTGGGCACGTTTTTGAGATAGCGGTCTGTATTTCTTTATGAACAAAGTAGTCCCTGTCTTTTGATTCCATTATCTGGAGGGGTCCGGTGCCTAATGCCGTTAGATACCATCGGAGGAAGGCGATGAATCGTAACTCTGATTTTTAAAAGTGCCTGGAAAATTCAAACAAAAATACCGGGAGGTGCGTCTTGTCAAGGAGATCTCCGGACTCTTCTTTTTTGGATTTTTCGGCTTTTCTTTGGGTTAGTTTCAACAAAATATTTCATCAATATCACTCTTCCGGTGGACTTTCGGGCGATAAGGGTGGCTGGAAACCAAAGAGAAAAATAGTCTGGAAGTCTCCTTGAGTTACGGTCCGGAGCAGGAATTTGATGCGTACTTGCTTCCGACACGCTTCTTGGTTTCCGAAAACGGGGAAATGTGCTGGAACTTTTTGAGCTTCATAGCTGTCAAGTCCTATGCTGACTGCTGTCAAAGATTGTCCTTAAGCCTTTGTTCGGTTTAGCCGTTTAGGGAAGAAATGAAGAATATAAGACTGTGTGAGGAGAAAGGGGAGGAGAAATTGGGTAGATTTAGTGTTGTTTGGTGAAAGAGGAAAAAGGGTAAATATTGAGATGGAATGCGCTTAGCTCATATTTCTCAGGAGAAGAAATAAAATTGGCGGAATCATTTTCTACTTTCCATTTATCACCTAATGAAACAAGAGAAATTTTGCATTTTTTCATATTTATCTCCCCTTCTGTGCTTCCTAATTCTTCCCAACCAAAGTAAGGTTTAAAGAAACCTTGTCATTGCCAGACACCATATTGTCCTGCCTGTTAGACCCAAGGCCATAAATATCATCAATACCTAATAATGTCCATTTGCTTTTTGGAGGATTAAAATTTCATTACGAAAGGTTTCTATCACCTTTATGATTTATCATCTTCAAATTTACTTTTTAAGTACAAAGAATGAATGCATTCAAGCATGCATTATAAAAGTTTGCTCCCATTGAATTCCTATGACATTTGTGCCTTATTGGTTTGAGTACCATGTTACTATATATATATATATATATATATATCCGGTTAGAGGGTGTAAGTTTTTCACCTTTTACCTTTTAGGTTTCCATGTGGATGATTCAGAAGTCACATTGAATGTGTGTTTGGGTAAGCAATTTTCCGGTGGAGAACTGTTCTTTCGCGGTGTGCGGTGTGAGAAACATGTAAATACAGAGACACAGCCAGAGGCAAGACTTTTTAATACTTTTGCCTGCAGTCAACTGATTATCTCACCAGAATCTTATACTTGGTATATAATATTCAGTGTAATTCTATTCAACTAATTTTATGGAGGTATTTCATAGTTACGGTTATAGAATATTTGATTGAGCAGCCAGTGTTTTACTACTTCCACTGTTCCAGATTTTCACCCAGTGCACAAGAAGGCTAGCTTAATACTCCGTAAATTATAATCTATTTATAATACTTTGAGACACTAAACATAGTAATTTTTTACAAGGGATGATGTGGTGGCATTATTAGGTATATACCAAAGAGTGAGCTACAAAGGAGTACATTTACCATATGGGCTACTTGGAGCTGACATGGGAGACCACACTTTAACTTTGGTGTGTGTGTCTGTGTTGGGGTGGTGGGGGGCATGATGTTGAAGGTTGTCATGAGATTGTGAATAGAAAGGATTAAGGATGAAGCTGGGGCGGACTCGTATAGGGTCCAGGGGTCTTGACCCCATCCCCAAATTTAAGACTGTTATGCGGTTTGCCTTTTTTGCCCATGTTTTAGTTCATACAAAATGGATTTTCACGATTGAATTTGGACGGTGGTCCTCCTGAGCAAAATTAATTGGTCTGCATTGCCCATCTTTCAGTCAACAGTGTGTAATTTATTAAAGGAGGAGGGGTCTCTAAGGATTATTTTAATGTGAGATCTATAATTCATTCAGTGTAACTTATTTCACATGGTAACCAGTTAACTGCATTATGGAACCTCTACCCAGAATGTGGCGTGACATGCAGTGATTTTTTTTATTAAAGCTGTGTATGATAATCATTTCAAAGTATCTGACACAGAATTCTCAATCTCTGTATGAGAATGATTTCAAAATATCTGATATCTGGTGAGATTTTTACAGAAATTCTCAACTCATCTGAAAATTGTGATTATATTTCACAGGAGATCTTTGACTATTCCCATGTTCCTGGACGAGCAGTTCTTCATCGTGGTCGGCATCGGCATGGTGCTAGAGCCACAACAGCTGGCCAGAGAATCAACTTATTACTCTGGTGCAGGAGGTACTTTTAGGTCCTTGTTTGTCTGGAGGAGTGATGTTTATTTTTTTGATTTATTACTGCATTTAGAGGATTGGGAAAAGGTGATAACAAAATGTTATAAAGAACCAATTATATTGTTATTTTGTACTCTAAGACCTATAAATATAGATAAATTAATAGAACAAAAATCAACCCCTCCCTCCAAAGTATCCAAACCTAAAATAACCTCAGTGACATGCCTTTCTTATCTTAGGAATTATGTTGATTCGATCAGCTCTAATGAATATGAGGTGACTTAAATTCTTGCTAAAATTGTGGCTGAAATGGTTGAAATTAAAGGAAATAATAATATCTAAATATGAAGGTTGAGTGCCATTTTCAATAATTTCAGCCTTTAGAAATGCCAACCAAACGGGCACTGATGTTTTCCAAATGAGAGAGTTGTAGGCTTGTAGCCGATGTATAACTTATCATTAAGATATTGCATTTCAAATTTTTTGTTTCTATCACAGCTCTGTTTTTAGAGAGTTGAGGAAGTACCAGAAAGATTTTTCTAGCTGGTGTTCTGAGTGCCAGCGTGAAAAGAAAGAAAGGCAACAACAGTCTGTAACTGCGATTAAATTGGTAATGCTAAGGAGTTCCTCTTTTGTTTGTACACACATAAACACATAAAATTGTTAAATGTATTTGTCATTTTTTTACCAGGAACTACTGAGAAGAGAAGGGGAGGCTGCTTTATAGTTGATTTGTGGTGCCTCTGACTCTATTTATCGTGTTGTTTTAAAGTCTTCTGTAATATAGGGCAACCCTATTAATCAGGCCGCATTCTCAGTGGTGGTACTGGGGATGCAGCCCATATATTTCCAGCTGTACATTACATGAATACCAGGGCATATGCAGCATTCTCAGTGGGGGTACTGGGGATGGCAGCATATATATTTCCAGTTGTACATTACATGAATTAGTGATTATGTCCAGTTTGCTAACACTTGAAAGTGAATAACAAATTGCCATTTTTCATGGTGTCAACTACCAGTGTAGTTAATAGTATGATTTCGAATTTCGATGGATGACTATAATTTCTGATCTCCAGAAATGTGCTGAGGTTTCAATTAATTGATACGGAATATCATGTTGGGTTTCAATTTATTTATGTTATTTTTAGGTTCAATTTATACTTTCCTGTTTCCAGTAGCTCTCAGAACTTCAATGTTTTTCGTTTTCTACCTTCTGCAGACTTTTTGTTGATACTCCGTATTCAAGAGGATTTTTCTTACCCTTCAGATTATAAAATTTGAATCGGAATATCAAATTACCCTTAGGGGTGGACCGGTTCCGGTTTGGGCCCGGTTCGGGCCTGGGCCCGGCCGGGCCTGGGCCCGGCCGGGCCTCGGTTCAGAAAAAGGAGGCCCGAGCCCGAACCGGTGGTGGGCGATTCCGGTTCCGGTTCTGGGCCAGAACCGGGCCGGGCCACCCGGAATGTTTTTTTTTTTTTTTTTTTTCTTCTCTTATTTAACCCCCTACCCCTCCCCCTCCACCCCAAACCACCCCAAACCACCTCAAATGGCCAAAAAATATCTAATCCAACCCAAAACTTAAAAAAATTTCAAAAAAAAAAAAAAATTAAATTCCGGCCCGAACCGGGCCCAGCCCGGCCGGGCCGGTTCACTAAACTGGAGGCCCGGGCCCTGACCGGTATACCACCGGGCCGGGAGGCCCGAACCGGAACCGAACCGGTTCACCGGGCCGGTCCGGGCCCGCACAGTAGCGGGCCGGTCCGGTTCCGGGCCGGTTGGCCCGGCCCGAGTCCATCCCTAATTACCCTCCAGTAGTCCAGTGTTACAATTTGAATGGAAAATGAGGCATGAAATTGTAATCCTGAACAATTAGAATACGCACATCAAGTCATCAACTCCTGAGAAATTAACCAAACCCTTTGTAAATTGTAACTTGTTTAAAGCTTCTGTTGCATTAAGTAAGAAGTAAATTAATTTCCATTTTGAAATACGCACAGTCGCACATTAACTCCTGAACAATTTAATTAGTAGCCTTGTCAGCAAGTATTAAAGCTCATTGGTCTGTCTTGGCTTAAACAAGGTAATAAAGCGTGCAGTATTTTCACTATGGACTGATTAGGCTACTTATGCATAACTTATGCATAAGGTAGCATATGATGTTTCGTTTAGGAGTACAAAAATCACATGAGTAGAAGTTTGTAAGAGCTAAGAATTACTTAATACGAAGTAAGAGTATCACAGGATTCACAGCTACATAATCCAGCAAACCACACACTATACATCTTCAAACTGAACATGCTTACATACACTGGAATCACGGATACACCATTTTATGTTGCTATATCTGTAAACAGAGTCACAAACTGGGTTCTCTTGGGACTAGGTCCCTTATGAGTAATCATCTTACCTTTTTATGTGAGCTAACATCATATCGCTTTCCACTTCATTTAAGAACATCTGATCAATATAATGCTTCTACGTCTCTAAGGATTATTGTTATCGTGTTGCCATTATTATCATTATTATCAATGTGGCTACACTAGTTTCAAACATATGAGTGGACTGGAAAAATTCAGTTGAGGAGAGGGTTGATGAGAGACGACCTGGAGTTGATGACGAGTGACCTGAAGAGTTTCTCCTGGTCAGTGAGGGAGTGGCGGAAGTGGCAGCGGTGGCCGTAAGGGCAGTCGTCACCATTGGCACCATGCCGCAAATCTCTGTCTTGTAGCTTGGGTGACGGAGGACTGGGCGGAGCTCATCCAGACCGTGTGCAAACTGGCAGTTGTCACCATAGGGCCACCCTCCTGTTCCTTGCCATTTGTTGCATAGCTGAACATGTCCTGGTTGTACACTTCCAACTCCACTGGCTCCTCTTCCCTCTTCCCACCCTTCAGATACACTCTTTGCTACAATAATGCATCACCAAGCCACCACCACCATTAGTAGTGCTCGTATCATCAAACCAGAGAGATCCTATATTTTAATCATCATCATTGTCTTCCATCTTTAATTAATTTTAGGGAATCGACCCACACTTCAATTCCTATATATGTTGTAATCTGTGCATTCATCTGTCAAGAATATATAATAACAATCCATCCATATAGCACAATCTTAACTTGTCCTTAATCTCTCATGATCAATTCGTGTGCACCTCATTATGTAATTTTTACTCTATTCCAGCTTTTTTTTACACAGAAATGCTGTGACAATGTGATTATAACTCATTTACTAATTAAAGAGTATGGAGCATAATATAAATTATTCGAAGTGCGCAATATTCTTTTGTTGTTGTTGTGCTCACATATCTACTACTTGTATAATATCTGGTTTGTTTTATTAGATGTCAACGGTCTTGAACTGAGATGAACTTTGACCTTGTGAGCTCAACCTTTGGAGCATCATAGTGATGTCATTGAACTACAAGATGATTGACAAACATTTCTTTATTCTTTAATAATAAATAGTATAGTTTAATATAGTGTGAAAGAATGTACTCCATAAAAATTAAGAAAGAAAGATGAAAAAAGTAAGGAAGAAAAATTAAAAAGTCTTAAAGAAAGCCACTGATTCATTAGAGATATTTACTATTTAGTGTCAATAGAAACTTACCAGAATGGGAAAATATTAAATTTAATGAAATACTCCATAGTTAAGATGGATAATATAATTTTTTTACTAGTACGTAATTAATTGCATTAATAGTCAAAATCGTGGTAAGGTCAAGCCATTGATTTAAACTAAAAAAAAAGAATACAAGTAGAAGTTAATACTCCTTGTATAGTTGTATGTACGTATTACGTACTTCGTAGTATATATGGAGTATATGAGCTATGCATAATTCATAAATGATAAACCTGAAGTATCATTAATAAAAATAACTTCGTTTAAGAAAATATGAGCATAACACTTCTTTGTCATATGACCTATGCATAATTCATAAACCTGAAGTATCATGGATAAAGCTATTCTTTATCTCCTACCTCGTTGAGACAAAGATAAGTGGCACAAAAATATACTCCGTAGGAAATACGGATTATGATATAAGCATGACATAAAAAAAGAGGAAGTATAAGGTTTTAGGAAGTATTTGAAAAAGAAATTACCGCCAATTGGGGGGTTTTGGATCGACTCTCAGCCCTGCTTGTACTTGCTTGAGCCGTCTTCGTGTAGCCACTAGATACTCTTGGGAAGCAGTACCCGGTGCACATCTTTTCTCTCAATCCCACCCGAATCCATCACGCTGGTTGGGCTCTCGTGACAGTCTCCGGACGACCCCGCGCTCAATTCCTCCCACGGTTGTCCCTCGCTGCTTGAAACATTTCTTCCAACAGGGACGTCGCTCCTCCTCCTAATTGCGTATTTGCACGGAGCTCCCGACCTAGCAGCGTAATCGGACGACGCGTTGAGCAGTGAATTCAGGCGGATGTTCAAATCGAGGTTCGCCATCTTCAGATTGACGTTCTCCTGCCAGAGCGCTTGAGCTTGTTTCGCCACCTCTCGGAGTTGAGCGAGCAGAGCGCTGTGGCGGGCCACGAGATCCTGCTGATCGAGCAGGAACTGAGAATGAGGAATGCGCCATGGAAACATAATTTCTCCACCACCGGAAAGATCTCCGTGGAGAGGCGGCGGAATCATGATCACATTGTAGAGCGATCTTAAATCGAACGAGCCGCTGGAAGCTTGGCTGTGAAACGGCGGCGGAGACATAGAATCGTACTCCATTGCTCCTCCGAAGCCGGTGATTAATTAACAGAGTCTCTGTTTCTATAGGCAAGTATATCCGTATCTAAACATCTTCTATCATTGCTGCAAACAAGTCAATGGAAGGTCACAGAGTCACACGTGAACATTTCAAATCACGAACGTAGATCATGATTCATGAACACCAAAATATATACGGAAAAATCATAACGATGAACTATGTCGTAAAAGAGAAAATTGCACCTGATGAAAAACAAGCACACGATATCGAATCGGTTGATTGTTCCGCAATCCTTCAAAGCGCGAATTTAGGCTTTTAGAGTGTGAAGGAGTAGAGAGAGAAACTGGACCTGAGGAAATGGGAAAAGCCGAAGAGAGTTTTATGGAGAGTATTAATGTAAGTGATATATATAGACGTGGTCGGGGAAGGAGCGAATGTAGAAGACAATAAGGAAAGGGCAATTTGGGAAATGAGAGTGAAGCCGGGAAACTATCCGTGTATAAATCCCACCTTGACTTCAGTGATTCGGATGCCTACGGGTGCTACATTAGTTACCCAAACCAAACGAATAAAATCTAAACTGAACCATATCCAATGAGTTCTTATATCGTGGGAAGGATCCACGATTATATGAAATGTAAATTGGATAATTTACATTCATTCTCAAATGTAATTCGTTGAAATTAATCTGGTTTAATTAAAATATACTCCCTCTGTCCGCGAAACAAGTTCCCGTTCGGTTTACGATGCTTGAGTGACGATAAAACAACTCAATCCCTGTTCACACCTGAATTATTTTTAGTAACTAAAATTTACATATTCAGAAATTACATTAAAACCGCTACAAAGCCTGATCAACAAAATTTAAGTTTAATAAAAATTTGATATATAAAGTAAAGAATTAGGAGTGACTCAAGTTGAACCAATGAATAGTGACTGAGAACTTCTTTCGGAGACGGAGGGAGTAACTGGAAGATTTAACTTGAGAATTGTAACTTTAGACTATTGAAATTTAAGTTTACATCTTTACTTGATTATTACTTAATAATTTAAATGATTAATGTCATTAACGTATTAGTAGATATAGTTATTTAATAATATTAATTGAACGTTATGTAACTGTAGTGCATTGAACTTTAGTAAAAATATTTAACATAACAAATTGTTGATGATGTTTATGATTTAAAGTTTTTAACCAATATATTTTTTATTATTATAATATTCAGGCATAATGTATAGGCAAAATAGAAGTTGGATGTATGATAAAAATGCGGTATTGTACGGAGTGCAATCAAATTTCCTCGAGGGATGTGGGGAGTTTATTAAATTTGCACTTGAACACCCGGATTATATGAGTGGTGACAAAATCAGATGTCCATGTTCAAAGTGTAGAAATCTCAAATTTAAAGACCCAGAGGATGTTGGGTGAGATTTGTACGCGGAAGGTTTCGTTCCCAATTATTATAATTGAACTTGTCATGGCGAACATTTGGATCCATCTCTCGCTCCATGAACAGTAGGTTCGTCTCGTAACTTGTGTACCCTAACATTTTCCTAATTGGGGAGGTGTGTGAAGCAACTATACTAGGGTCATTTATGTCAGAAAGGTGATGCGCGTAATAATTGGGGAGGTGTGTGAAGCAATGCCCAAAGTTTCTTTGTCCTTCCATGTTTAGTCAGCAATTCTCCAATCCTGAAATTAAAACAATCCATCACAATGTTTTGTTAAATGGTACTCATACTTCAATTTCAATTTGCTGTTTCGTGGGTCGTCGAAAGTTCGAGCCCCAGAAAGGGTAAGTAAAAAAATTGCTTCTTTTTCGCTTACAATTTTTTTTCTTCAAATGCCGTTTGGCTGCTTTGCCTCAGACGAGACACCCTCTTTTGACGATGGGTGTAATTTGAGTTTAATGTTGAAGCTTAAAAGGCCATAGACACTACCTTACATTACATTTCTTGGAGTATCCGGTGTATAAAATCTGCTTTGGTTGTAAGGTCATATATAAAGGTAAATTTCTCTTCTTTTTCCATGATTTATCCTTTCTCAATCTCTTGTATTTTTTAAGACATTTTACTTATTAGTGCGATGGCAATGAAGTCCATTTTTGGGTCTAGATTTTTCTTCTTTCTTTCATTTTCAGTTTCTTTCCATTTTGGGATCTTGATTTATCTTCTTTAACCATGGACTCTCAAACCATGAAACCTAAACAAAAAATAAGCAGTTCCTCCCTCCCGTAGAACTGAATTGATTAGTAATTTCTGTCAATAAAATTAATTGATTCCTGTCTGTAATTAGATATTTTAGTAAATAAAATTTACATTTTCAGAAACTAAGTTAAAGATTTTATAAAGTAGCAAAAATAATCCAAATTTGATAAACGTTAGCTATATAAAATAAAAGATTAAGAAGACTTTGCGTTAACTACAGAACGTTGGACAAGAACCTTTGTATGGGATTGATGTCGTATACGGAGTATTTTATACAGCAAGTTTTATTTTGATAACTTATTCGGTTATATACTTATATTTAAGTATTTTTCTTTCAAATATCAATACATATTCATTTTTGGACTGTTTGTTTAGTGTATATATATCAATTAGCCATGCATAAAATTAAAACCCAAATACTCACAATGTGTGTGTCTTTATCTGTTAAATTGCTCCGCATGAGTTAGGATGAATGACACTCTTTTTCTGTCAATTATTGTTGTGATTATTGTTGTGAATGGAGTATTTCTATCTACAACTTTTAAAATCTGAAAATGAACTATGCTTTACTTGCATGCCTTATGTATTGATATGCTTTCACTTGATTTTACGGAATTCTATATCATAAGAAGCATTTTCATGCGTAAAGTGTACATGCGATCTTTTTACTTGGGCTGATTTCAGTCCTAGACCTGTTCATACCACACTAGATTTTAAAAGATAATACCAAAATTCAACAATTATAAAATATGCATACACCAGACATCTATCAGACCAGTTCAGACCTCAGACCAGATCATACAAGACCTAAACAAAACAGATCAGACTAGAAAGTTTCAATCCCGTAAAAACATCCTTAGTTTCTTATATAATTGAGGTTTAGTTTAGCAAAATCATTATCAATTAAGCTTAGTCGACTATGACTTTGCTGAACTAAGCACTGACATGAGTTACCATTATTTTGTAACTACAACATCTAATAAAATATCACACACCACTACAACAAAATAGACCTTTTGCAACAGTTTCCTTGTAACATTTATTTTTTGGTTGGATATGGTATTTTTAGTTTGTATTTTGCAACACTTTTAAATAAATACTCCCTCCGTAACATTCATATCTTCCTATATTCCATTTTTGGACGTAATATTTATATCTTCCTATTTCTAAATCTTCTCATCACATCCTCAATAATTTAAAAAATAATACACTATTAAACCTACTTTTTTGGATTTATCCTTCATTCCATCACATTATTTCATTATCTTCCCATCATACTCTCAATAATTCATACCTCATTTCATTATTCTTAATCTCACTACTTTAAAAGTGAGAAGATATATGTGATACGGAGGGAGTATTGCATAAGCCTAAAAATCATTAAAATATGTAACATTTTATAAAAATCTTTGCATATAAGTATATGCAACGTTTTTTCTAAAACGAGTCTTATGAATACGGGATAGTTGGGGTGGGCCGGGAAACCGACTCCTTTTTTCACAACCCAAAAAACCCGTTCTCCTGTCTCTTAGGGAGTGTTTGCAATAGTTTAAAAAAAAGCACTTCTCAGTTTTTGGCTTAAAAAAGCACTTATTTACCAAATACTTTCAATTTTTACTTTTTCTCCGCTTGCGTGTGAAAAGTGTTTTTCCCTTTTCTATTACACAAAAAGCACTTATTTTACCAAACACTACCAACTTTTACTTTTCAAAATCATTTTTTTCTCAAACACTATCAACTTTTACTACTAATCTCCAAAATTGCTTTTTTTTTAGCAGAAGCAGTTGCAGCAAATGGCGGTCAGGCCATTTGTCGATATCCTCCTATACGACACTTTCCCCTTTCTCCATTTTCTTTATCAGTAAATCAATTCACCATGAAGGTAGGAGCGCAGATGAAGTGCCGGCGAAGTCACGACCATCACTAATCGGCGCCACAATCGCTGCTAATTTGCGCGGACGAAGCCACCGCCAGCGTTCACCCTCACTCTTTCGTTCAAATATCATCACCTAAGGGCTAAGGTCATAATTCCTCTCTATTTCTGTTATTCTTTTTTAGTTTTTTCTCCTGATATTGTGTAAAATTTATGTTATATACTCCGTAGTTGTTTGTTTGAGTAATACGTTTCACTGTTCTGAATTTGTGACGGTCATGTTTGATGTTAATCTCCAAGTATTTTATTTCAGTTTCATACCCACAAGGTGTTTGTTAAAATGCTACAATGACATATAATACTGAATTTTTCAAAAATGGATAAACTTTTTGCCATAACATGGGTACACACTCGGTTTTTTCTACTTTAGTAATGTACAATTTCATATTTTGAAGGTCTTGTTTGATGTTTGTAAGAAAAGTGTCAAATTATATCCCAAGTATATCATGTTCCACTCCAAACAAAATTTTGAAATAATTGATGCCCATTGAAATATTACGGGTGTTATAGATCAGAACTATGGTATTGATAACCTGTGTGGTTCTATTCTGTAAAAAATTGATAAAAAACTGAACTTTTGATTCTGGTTTAGAAATCTGAAAATTTTTACTTGCTCTGTTAATCCGTTTTATAGAAATGAGTGAAAATGAATCTTTAACGTGTTTCTTAACTTTTTAGAGTTGTTTTGCTTTCAGTTTAGAAAAATATTAGGAGTTGGTGAATTAAAATGAGCTGCTCACATTTGTTTTAAATCCCAGTGACTTCTACGTTAGGGTGGGGTAAGGGCCGGTGGACTTCTATTGGAGATTCGGAGCCTGAATAGTTTAGAAGAAAAACATTTTTTATGCTATCTCCAACATTGAACAAAACTGCATATCGATTTAGAAGAATTAAGAAGTTTTTAGTATTGACCTTAATCTATACTAAAAACATCATATCCAAAGAAGTGTGGGGATGAAGACTGAGACAAAAAACTAAGAAATCTGCCGCTTCTCCGCTGTTGATTTGATCGCCGCTTTCCACTTCCTTGTTTAGGTAAATATGTGCCGTTTTGCTATATACATTTGTTTTTGCTATATATATATATATATATATATATATATATATATATATATATATATATATTATACACACATACATTTTCAACCAAGCAACAAGTTTTACTTATTCATTTTGCATTCCACTTAAGTAGGTTTCTCAATAATACAAAGCGCACTTTCTTAATATATGTTTGCTTTTCTATATACGTAATTCGTTCACACTTAGATGAGCTAAGAGAGTTCTTTATTTCCCATCATGGTGATTTTTGATACTTCTGATAATACTGATGGCACTTTTAAGAGAGGTAGCCAATCAGAATAATTTGAAAATTATAAAAGTAAAGACTTCAAGTTTTGAGTTCTTTTGGTCTTTCAGTTCTTGGTAAGTAATACTCCGTAGAACTTTTTATTATGCATGTTTGATCTACTATTCAATTATTTCTAGCTGTTATTAGTGTATATTAACATTTCTTTGAAGTCTTCACATGCATTTCATTGCATTGAGTTACATAGTATATTAGTATGAACAAATTAATGATCTTTATTTCATAAATTAAATGATTATAAGTTTGTTATGTGTTCAAATAACGTGTTCACATTCTCTAGTTGACTGATGACCTCAAAAGTTTCGGGTATTCAAGGGAACATAAATATGGGCATTTAAGTGATGAGACTATGAGAGTTGGGTACTTGGAGAGGGGTTCTCACAATGATATATGCCATTTGAGATATGTAAGTTTGATTACTTGACTGACAGATTCTTTGGAAAGCTGTTAGAATACACAGCTATTAATATACATGAGTGGAGGCGTGGAGCATATTTTGCATACAGTCTTGACTTTTGAAAAATCACTTTATATCTCAACTAGTTTAAATATGACTTCCAGGCTCTCCTGGAACAGGTTGTGCTTTTTCTAATGTTGTCTCAATTAATGTATCCATGTCGCAGCATTCTGAGCTTAACAAGCACACTTTATAACATTGAATGTCGAAGTAATCTAGGGATTTACACTGTATTTATGATATACATGTATGTTCTTTCTGGTTAAAATTATAAATATCTTCTTCTTATTCTTTTGGTTCTATTTCCATGAAATTTGAAACGTCAAAGTTTTTATGATAGGAACTCTTGGAGGCCGGTCATGTGTACGTCTTACTCTTTGAAATGAGAACTGCCTCTATGAGGTATTTTCCATTACTCTCTCCACTTCAATCTATTATACGATTTCGCATGTACACTTTACTAGCTTGAAAATGCTTCTTATGATATAGAATTCCGTAAAATCAAGTGAAAGCATATCAATACATAAGGCATGCAAGTTAAAGCATAGTTCATTTTCAGATTTTAAAAGTTGTAGATAGAAATACTCCATTCACAACAATAATCACAACAATAATTGACAGGCAAAAGAGTGTCATTCATCCTAACTCATGCGGAGCAATTTAGCAGATAAAGACACACACATTGTGAGTATTTGGGTTTTAATTTTATGCATGGCTAATTGATATATATACACTAAACAAACAGTTCAAAAATGAATATGTATTGATATTTGAAAGAAAAATACTTAAATATAACAGAATAAGTTATCAAAATAAAACTTGCTGCAAAAGCTTATAAAATACTCCGTATACTACATCAGTCCCATACAAAGGTTCTTGTCCACCGTTCTGTGGTTAACGCAAAGTCTTCTTAATCTTTTATTTTATATATCTAACGTTTATCAAATTTGGATTATTTTTGCTACTTTATAAAATCTTTAACTTAGTTTCTGAATATGTAAATTTTATTTACTAAAATATCTAATTACAGACATGAATCAATTAATTTTATTGACAGAAATTACTAATCAATTCAGTTCTACGGGAGGGAGGAACTGCTTATTTTTTTTTTTTTTAGGTTTCATGGTTTGAGAGTTCATGGTTAAAGAAGATAAATCAAGATCCCAAAATGGAAAGAAACTGAAAATGAAAGAAAGAAGAAAAATCTAGACCCAAAAATGGACCTAATTGCCATCGCACTAATGAGTAAAATGTCTTCAAAAATACAAGAGATCGAGAAAGGATAAATCATGGAAAAAGAAGAGAAACTTACCTTTATATATGACCTTACAACCAAAGCAGATTTTATACACCGGATACTCCAAGAAATGTAATGTAAGGTAGTGTCTATGCCTTTTAAGCTTCAACCTTAAACTCAAATTACACCCATCGTCAAAAGAGGGTGTCTCGTCTGAGGCAAAGCAGCCAAACGGCATTTGAAGAAAAAAATTGTAAGCGAAAAAGAAGCAATTTTTTCACTTACCCTTTCTGGGGTTCGAACTTTCGACAACCCGCGAAACAGCAAATTGAAATTGAAGTACGAGTACCATTTAACAAAACATTGTGATGGATTGTTTTAATTTCAGGATTGGAGAATTGCTGACTAAACATGGAAGGACAAAGAAACTTTGGGCATTGCTTCACACACCTCCCCAATTATTACGCGCATCACCTTTCTGACATAAATGACCCTAGTATAGTTGCTTCACACACCTCCCCAATTAGGAAAATGTTAGGGGTACACAAGTTCTACACAACTTGTACACACAATGTCGGTCACAGACAATTGGTACGGAGTTGCCTCGGAGTTGCCTCTGACCACAGACAAGAGTTGTCTGTGTACACAGACAAATTTTGTCTGTTTCCACAGACATTTACTTTTTTGTAAAAAGTACTTTCATGTTAGTAAAGTGTACATGCGATCTTTTTACTTGGTCTGATTTCAGTCCCAGACCTGTTCATACCACACTAGATTTAAAAAGATCATACCAAAATTCAACAATTATAAAATATGCATACACCAGACATCTATCAGACCAGACTAAAACAGATCAGACTAGAAAGTTTCAATCCTGTAAAAACATCCATAGTTTCTTATATAATTGAGGTTTAGTTTAGCAAAGTCATTATCAATTAAGCTTAATCGGCTATGACTTTGCTGAACTAAGCACTGACATGAGTTACCATTATTTTGTAGCTACAACATCTAATAAAATATCACACACCTTAAGTATCTCATTTGAGTTTGTACTCTATAATAGTTTTTTTCTCCTTCATCTCTCTTTCTTTGTCTTCCTAAATACAAAATCAAAACCCATACCTAATCTACACACTACTCAATGTTGACAAACTCACAAGCTTGATTTCAGAGCCACTCTTATATAATTGAGGTTTAGTTTAGCAAAGTCATTATCAATTAAGCTTAATCGGCTATGACTTTGCTGAACTAAGCACTGACATGAGTTACCATTATTTTGTAGCTACAACTTCTAATAAAATATCACACACCTTAAGTATCTCATTTGAGTTTGTACTCTATAATAGATTTTTTCTCCTTCATCTCTCTTTCTTTGTCTTCCTAAATACAAAATCAAAACCCATACCTAATCTACACACTACTCAATGTTGACAAACTCACAAGCTTGACTTCAGAGCCACTCTTTAGAATTGAAAAACAAAGATAATATTAGAAATTGATAACAACTTTAAAGTAAAAATCTAGCCTTTACATTCTAATATCAAAATCCAGTAATGGAGTACATTTCCAACTTCCACTTTTATTGGTTCCAATGTTTTGATTTAGATGTTTGTGGTTCTAAGACAATCGTCAAGAACCAATGGGAACTTTATACCATCTCATTTCAAATGCTCTTCTCTTGGAACTCTCTATAGTTCATAAGAATGAAAATATGAAAGTTAATCATCTGAAATTTCATTTCTTTCTAGAGAACAAATTCGGACCTAAGATTGCAATTATTATTTTTCAATTGAAGATACATTGCATTGATATGTCTCAAATGGCAGAATGGAAGGGCTTGTGGTGGAAAGGCATGTTAAATACATCATATCAGTTGAAAAGGTCAGAATTATTTATATTTCTATTATTTACTTGTTGTTTTTATGAACCATATATTAAAGAGAATGGGCTCTTAATCATGTAGTAATATGTCATCTTTTCATTAATGAATTTACTGTGATTATCGGATTTATCACTTCACTTAATAACATAAACGGAATGGTGTTTTTTTATTATAAGCATCACCTTAATCCCAACCACGCTGGGTTGGTGCAATGAAATTTACAGAAAAATAATTATCTATATATTTAGTTACCACATTGGGTAGGTGTCCTGACATTCAAACTTGTTTTTTTATCGTGCTTTTTAAGCTACTATAGTTTTCTAATATTTGAACTTGTTTATTACCTTGTTTAAGTATTTAACGTTTTAGTGTAGAATATTTAAATATGTATTTCCAACATGGTAATTTTTTATCTACTATACACTAGGTGGGTGTTTGGTTAAATCAATAATCTTTACGATGTTTATTTGTCATACTTTTAGAGGAAAGATGATTTCGAATCTGTGGTGATGGAGCATCTAAGATTAAATGGAGCTTACTGGGGATTGGCAACGCTTGATATCCTAGGAAAGATTGATGTAGTGGACCGAGATGAGGTTATTCCTTGGATCATGCAGTGCCAAGATGAATCTGGTTTGTCTTATCATACTAAGTTTTTCTTATTGATTGATCTCTAAATTTTGGTCAGCTTGTGCAATTTGCTAGTTCTCTTAAATTTGATTATTTTATTGAGATATTTTTATTTCATATGTCAATTCATATTACCCGACCCCAAATTTTTTGGGGACTAAGGCTTGGATGTTGTTGTCTTATACTTGTCATCATCATCATCACCCCAGTGCCGCAAAGGCTCCCACCTACGGTGGGGTAAAGGGGGGTCGGATGTATGCAGTCTTACCCCTGTCTTACCCCTGTACTAAAGCACGGAGAGAATGTTTCCGAATGACCCATTGTGAAAAACGCGTCGAAAATAGTGAAGACTGACTGTTACTTCATAAAGAAGCGTAGACGGTTTAGTGAGCCATTTTGCTTTATTCCATCATATTCCCAAGCCAAACAATATTGAGTCTGGCTCCATTGAAAATGATGGAAAGATATTGTCATATACTTTTATTGAGGTATTTTCCCTTTTGGATAAGGTGTTACTTGGTGAGTTGATGCACACAGTTTGTGTATTTAACCGGAGTCACAATGTAGATTTGCAAAAGGAACCACTAATCATGATTATAATGCCTGCCTGCCTGCCACCCCTTTTTATTGGTTTCACATCTGGGAGCCTGAATAATCGTTTTTTCATATTCCTTGGATATAACAGAAAGATTAGCTTATTTAAAACTAATTTGATATATGAGATGATGAACTAGCCATAGTGACTGCAATCTGGCTACATTACTGCTGAATTTACAATTTAGAGTACCAGTTGTTTATCTGTGCAGGTGGATTTGGTGGTAACATTGGACACGACCCACATATCTTGTATACCCTTAGTGCCATCCAAGTTTTAGCGCTATTTGATAAGCTTGATGTTCTTGACACTGGCAAGGTTTCAAAATGTATCCTTCAAAGGGAATCTTGAATCTTGACATGAGTTGTATTTTACTCTCATTCAACACATAACTTCTCCACTTTATCCATAGGGATATACATTCTATATTTCTAGTGTATTGTCTTTTGTGTTTTTTTAAAACGTTTTAGCCCGAATTCAACTTTATTTATCAATAAAAACTTTATATGTGTAACAACTCTGATATTGAATTTTGGTGTTGAACTTGACAATTTAGCCAGATATTGCCAACCTGCAAAATGAAGATGGTTCCTTTTCTGGTGACATGTGGGGTGAAGTTGATACAAGGTAACCAACTGCACTTTCAAACCTTCCTTATAACTTTTTATTCTCTCATGATCTCATCTGAGTTTCTTCATTCACTTATAACACATGAAACACATTTTGCATGTTATCCAGTGTTTAATTTAACATAGTATTATCAATTTATCATTAAAGAAAAGAATTACCAATGTAACTCTTTTTTTAGGTTCTCTTACATAGCAATAAGTTCTCTGGCACTGTTGCAACATTTGGATGCAATTGATGTGGAAAAGGCAGTTCAGTACATTCTAAGTTGCAAGAATATGGATGGTGGATTTGGTTGCACACCTGGGGCAGAGTCGCATGCCGGACAAAGTATGTTTCACAATATAGTTCTAAATTTATTTGAAATTTCTTACGTGTTTCTTGACTAAGAAGAGATATATCTTTACTAGAATCATTATTCAAGCATTTTTCTGTGTGGTCTTGGATTGGCTACTTTCATGCAATTTTATTCAGCATATTAGGATATAGATATTCATGCAATTCTAGAAGAAGTCATGTGAACTATTCATTTAGATACATCTTATACCCAAAATAATGATTTGGAAGTCTTGTTAATGCTAGAACCTATATTGTTTTGATCTTCTTTCTAAAATTTGATATGTAAATGAAGATTGCATAAAGAAGTCTCTAATATAGAAATCATCTGTCCAATGTTGGGATATGATGTGTTCGAGCCAAACCAAAACTATAAAGTTGAGCCAATTAGCTACTTGAACCTTAGCATATAAACCCATCTTTATTTTACTACTTTTTTAATATGGTACTTGCTTGAACAAACCTTAATGTCCAACAGTCCAAGCATAGTATTGTTGGATCTATTCTGTGATACCTTCAGCCATATGCTGTGATATGAATGCACTAACTTTATTACTATTGCAGTTTTTTGTTGTGTAGGAGCTCTTGCAATAACGGGCTCTTTGCATCATGTTGACAAAGATCTCCTTGGTTGGTGGTTATGTGAAAGACAAGTTAAATCTGGAGGTCTTAATGGCCGCCCTGAGAAGCTTCCTGATGTGTGTGCGACTTGTCCTTGCTTGATAAATACATAAATTCTGTTGATATGATTTTAAGACGCGGCTGATCTTACTTATTGTATTTTGTTTATTTAATTCTAGGTCTGCTACTCTTGGTGGGTTCTTTCCAGTTTAATTATGATAGACAAAGTTCACTGGATTGACAAGAAAAAGCTTGTAAAATTTATTTTGGACTGTCAAGTGAGTTTTGCCTCCTTATGCTGAGTTGAAATTTTCGTACAGAAGTCACAATTGATCATTTATCTTTCCTTAAGCAACTTCTTGTTGATCGTTGCGGTGTTAGTAGTGCCTTCGTGATTGTGTAGGATATAGAAAATGGTGGAATTTCAGATAGGCCAGATGATGCAGTTGATGTTTTCCATACCTATTTTGGGGTTGCAGGTAAGTGTAGGATCACAACTCATCCTGCCACTCCAAAATCGTAAAATTTCTATCAACCTCACTTAGTACATTTTGAACAGTTGTGCACTAAATTTAAAAAGGTATACTGATTTGATTGCTGGAAAACTGGCTGTTTTAACTTGACCGCTTGAGCACGTGATTAGCACCTATTACAAAATAAGTGGCTTATTTATCTTGCATCATTATTTGTCTGCCCTTCAGGACTTTCACTCTTGGAATACCCGGGACTCAAAGCTATAGATCCAGCATATGCTCTTCCTGTTGATGTTGTTAATAGAATCATCTATCACAAGTAATGGGTCGGTTTACCATCGTCTCATTCCTGCGATGCTGACGGTTAATGAATTTTCATTGACATCAACTTTAAGCGGATTTAATTAAGGGGTTAAAGGGATGTGCTCTGATAACCTCATGCAGGGATGCTTCTATCCCTTGGAATTACATCACTGCTTTAGTTCTGTGAGGTGTGGTGTATATTGTGTTGTCGCTTTAAAATTCCCAAATCCTAATATCCTATAAAATGGGGAGAGTCTAGTGTGGCTGTGAACATGGTATCCGTTCAACTTTGTTTTAAAAGGCCAATAAGTTTGTGTCCCTTCAGATAGATGCATTTGTCAGCGAGGCTTCGGCATGCACTGGTAACTGTCTTAAAGTTAGCAGGACAAGATTTTGTTTGTGCAAGTCAATGTTGTTCTCGGTGCCGCATCAATGACTAGTCTGTCTCAGACACTTAGTCATGTCTTCCTTCAAACTCCTAGGTTTAAGATAATTTTTGTAAATACATATTAACTGTGGAAAATTTTCGAGTATGGATTGAAAAAACTTATACATGAATCTGATGTTTAAATCTGTTGTCAAGACACAATTTTTTCATACACATTAACTGCAAATGAAATAGCTATAGCCAGTGGCGTGTTCAGAAAAATTCGTCAGTGAGGGCGAATTTACCTTAGATTTCTCACGAATGTCATGGAATAATCACATTAAGAGAAATATTTTAAAAACAATTATAAATACTAGAAATATTCACTGGACAAAATCATTATGATATCATACTTAAAAAATCACAATAAATAAATTTTAATCACACGGTGTTTGTGATTTGTTTTTTTATCAAGTGTTTGTAATTTGTTAAAAATTACGTTAATAAATAAACGAATGAAATAAGGGAATTGAAGGATTAACTATGTACTTGAAATTAATTTAATTTTGAATTCACAAGTACGTTAAAAAAACTAGTTTATATTGTTGTTGGGATAATGGCCCAGGCCGAGGTCCGGCCCATTAACCCCTTTTTTCTATCGGACGCACGTCATGCCAGGACCAGGCTGGGCGCAGGCCCATGACCCTTGGGAAGAGACGAACGTCTGGAATTGGGGGGGTCCAGGTTTCAAACGGCCCATCGCGACGAACGTATGTGCAGAGGTAAGGGGCAGGACCACTGGCCATCAGGGATAACGACGAACGTCTCCTGGGCAGGCCCATGATCGTCGGGGGAGATCCAGTCCACATGGAGAGAATCCACCAAGGTCAGGGGACGAACAGCCGAAGTCTCTTGAGGGTCACTTGGAGTGACCCAGCTCACCCCCTGGCGGACGAACGTCCCCATTATTTAGGCGGGAAGCCTAGATTCTGGCGGGAAGTGCATTTAATGCAGAAGATTTGGTGGTTGGGACACAAGCGGTCCGCAGGCCTCCACGTCAGCATAGCCACCTGCCCATTGGCGGGTATAAATAGAAGCATTTATTTCATTGTAAAGGGTTGGCAACTTTCTATTCTTAGCACTCTAGCTATAGTATCCTTACTCGCAGCACTTCTACTGCCTTGTAAGACGAACGGCCGACGGAGCCTTAGCGGAAAGTATTGTATTAGGGAGTTATTAAGAGATAATAATACCTAGTCATTCACTTGCTACCTTACTGCTTTCCCAATCCATATCATCTGCTTGTTGGGCTAGTTTAATCACATACTCCATTCGAAATCCTTGGGCTTACGTGTTGGACCCGGGGGTTGAAGGAATAAACCTCAACACTGGCGCCGTCTGTGGGAAACTGAACTAAAAGTTTCCGAAAAACTCTCCCAAACAGCTACTAAATCTACCCACAGCAAGCACGATGACAAGAAACAACCGCCAACGTGACCTCTCCGAGCAGCTGTCCCGCGGACGAAGCAACCGCGGACAAACCACGGAGCGTTCTGAGTCGTTGGGGACAATCGGGGGAGAGGGCGGCCTCACAAACCTCATCCCCCATGAGGCCAGGCATGACCCTCGACTCATGAGGGAGCTGGCAGAAACAATGCGCCGAATGGCGGACGAACAGGATGCGAACGAAGAGGTGTACTCAGCTAACACCATCTGGACGCCCATATCACCCATCCACCGCATGCAGTCCCTAGATGAGACAGCGGAATCGGCCGGACGTCGGACGCCCATCCACATGAGGTTGGGTCAAAATCCATCCTCCCACGGAGCTGGGGGGCACACCGGCGCCAGCACTCCTCGGTATGGTTGGCAGGACGATCATCGAGGGCGTACGCCGGACGCTCCCTCAGAACGCCAGGGCGCCACCATCACCCCCGCTGCCAGTAATATTGGACGACGTTTCCAAAGGCATGGTGCCCATATCACCCGGAGGCAACCCGACGCTGTTGCCCCTCGAAGGAATGTTGCGCTTGAGGCCGCCCCTCCTGTGTCCCCCGGAAGGGCCGCACAGGAGGCCCGGCTAGAGGCAATGGAACGGCGAATAGCCGAAATGGATAGACGGGCGGAGGCCACCCCAGCTACGCCGCGTTTTTCCCTCACCTCGCCTTTCACTCCGAGGGTCATGAACGCCGAGATTCCGCGGGACTGCAGGCCCCCCCAAGGGATAATATACAATGGGACCGGAGATCCCAAGGCCCACCTGATCAGCTTCCAGGGGAACCTCTCTATGCTGGGGGCATCCGATGAGGCTATCTGCCGGCTTTTCTTCAGCACCCTGAGGGGACCGGCGCAGGAATGGTTCGGGCAGCTGAGGCCCGGATCTATTGACAACTACGAGCAGCTGTCCCAGCAGTTCATGGCCCAATTCGCTGCCAGCACCACCCCCAAGAAGAGCTTCACATCGCTCACCAGTGTGAAGCAAGGAAGGGGCGAACCTCTGGCCCAATTCCTGGTCAGGTGGAGAGACGAAGTACTCCAGGTGGACGACCTGGACGAGCGGCTGGGGGTGAATCTGTTCACCAGTGCTCTGGCGACGGGGGACCTATACCGAGACCTTCGGAGGAATCCCAGCACCAGCTACACTGAGGTGCTGGCTCGGGCGCAGAAGTATGCCTCCATTGAGGAGGAGATCAGATTGAGGGACGGCGCTCCTGCGGCCCCTCCCCGAAAATTGGCGGACAGGCTCGGCCCTGGAGGCGGACCATCCCCCCCGAGCAAAAAGAAGAAGACGGACGGCGGCATGGTTCCGTGGAGGGCTCATCCGGAGGCCAGCCGCGTACATCCGGAGGAATATCACGTTCCTCTGGCCTACCCCGTCAGTCAGATTTTCGACGCCATCAAAGACAAGGGCATCCTGAGGGAGCCCCAAGACAAAAAAGCGCGTATGGGTCTTGACGAGACCGCATACTGCGAGTACCACCAGAGGGTCGGCCACCTCACCGACAATTGTAAGCAGTTGAGAATGGCCATCGACGAACTGATCCGGCAGGGCTACCTGGGCGAGTTCACCCAACTACTGAAGAAGAATAGCCCAAGGCAGCCGAACCCGAGATCGCGGTCATGGCGCCGCGACGATCGGCGCGAGGCGGAACCAAAGGACGCAGACTATCGGAGTGCTGACAAACGTCCGGAGGGGTCCCTCGGCCCGGACGGCGGAAAGAAGAAGTTGGAGATCAAAGTGATCTTCGGGGGCGCTGAGACTGGGGACACGCCTGCGGAACGGAAGAAGTTCGAGAGGTCCCTCTATGTGGGCTCCATATCAGCACCCCCCACCAAAAAGAACAAGGTGGAGGCCATCACCTTTGGGCCGGCCGACCTACCGATGTCACCGGCCCCCCACAGGGATGAGTTGGTGATCAGCATGGATGTCAACAATGCGATCGTCCGACGCGTCCTTGTTGATACGGGCAGCAGCGTGAACGTCCTCTACTGGGAGGCATTCGAGGGAATGAAGTTGAGGAAGGACCAGCTGGCCCCCCTGCGTACCCCTCTTTCAGGCTTCACAGGGGACTGCATCGATGCGGAAGGTACCATCGGCCTCCCCGTTGAGATCGGGGATGGACCTCACACCACCCGCATCCGGATGACGTTCGTCGTGGTCCGCCTAAAATGTGCTCACAACGCAATTGTGGGCCGGCCTGGCTTGGAGGATCTTGAGGCCATCTGCTCCGTGCGGCACTCATGCATCAAATTCCCCACCGAGACAGGGGTGGGGGTCGCCCGCACGGATCCGCGCATGGCCAGGGCCTGCTACACCAAGGCCATGGAGAGGTTCAGAGAGCGAGAAGCCCGGGTCAACAGCATTACTGAGAAAGCTAGGCAGGCTGACTTCGACGCTCGTCTGGAACCGGCCGCCCTGCTCGAGGAAGTGGAGCTGGATAACCCCTCAGACAGGAAGGTGTCCATCGGCGCCGACCTCGAGCCTGAGATCAAGGAAGGGGTCATAGCCGTCCTCCGGAAGTTCAAAGTCCTATTTGCCAGAGGGCCGGAGGACATGCCCGGGATAGACCCCAACCTCATCTGCCACAGACTCGCCGTTCGGCCGGATGCTAAGCCCATACAGCAGAAGAAGAGATACATGGCAGCCGAACGGCGAGAGTTCATCAAAAGGGAGGCAGCTACGCTCCTCAACATCAAGCACATCCGGCCGGTCATCCACGTGGAGTGGTTGGCCAACGTAGTACTAGCCCCAAAGGGCGACACTTGGCGGATGTGCGTCGACTACTCGGACCTCAACAAGGCCTGCCCGATGGATCCATATCCAGTGCCGAGGATCGACTTGCTCGTGGATGAAACGGCGGGCTGCGAGCTGCTCAGCTTCATGGATTCATTCAGAGGCTACCACTAGGTATTCATGCATCCTGATGATGCAGAAAAAACGGCGTTCGTCACAGCGGAGGGCGTGTACTGTTATGTGGTCATGCCGTTCGGCCTGAGGAATGCCATGGCCACCTTCCAGAGAATGATCGGGATGTTGTTCAAAGACGTACTAGGAAAAACAATGGAAGCTTACGTAGATGACATCCTAATCAAAAGCAAGAAGAGGGAGGACCACATCCGGGATATGGAGAGGATCTTCACCATCATGGAGGGGGCTAGCATGAGGCTAAACCCAAAGAAGTGTGCCTTTGCCGTCAAGGGCGGCAAATTCCTCGGCTACATGATGAGTGAGCGGGGAATCGAGCCTAACCCAGAGAAGGTAAAGGCAATAGTTGACATGGAGGCCCCGAAGAACCTGAAGGATGTGCAGCGCCTCACCGGGAGACTGGCAGCCCTGAGCCGATTCATGTCAAAACTAGCAGATAAGGCCATTCCTTTCTTTCAGATCATGAAGAAGGCAAATCCCTTTGAGTGGACACCAGAATGCCAGGCTGCCTTCGACGACTTCAAGATATACCTCTTTTCTCCGCTCGTCCTCACCAAGGCGGACCCCGGGGAGCAGCTATACATGTACTTGGCGGTGGCAGACTTGGCTGTGAGTGCTGTGCTACTCAAGGAGGCAGAGGGTGTTCAGCGACCGATCTATTTCGTGAGCAAGGCACTAAACGGCCCGGAGACCAGATACACACTGATGGAGAAGACGATCCTCGCCTTGATAGCATCCATCAAACGCCTGGCACCGTACTTCCAGGCACACCCAGTGATCGTATACACGACACAGC